AAAAAAAAAATCAAATGCACACAAAATTTCAATTTCAATTTCAGAGTAGAGGGAAGAGTCAAAGATAAATCCAGATTTCTGCGCTTGGCTGGATGGAGGATAAACTCGCCAACTGATAGAGATAATGTAGAGAAACAGTAGCAAAATAATACTTAATATAGAATAATATGCAGAATATACAGAAGAAACAGCAGATAGCGAGAGTGAGAGATCGATTTTGGAAATGCTCAGTGTGGGATGCCTGTGCTACATCAAGCTGTCCTGCAAGCAGCTGGACAGGGCAGCAAAGTCTAGGCTAAGAAATAGTATAGTTATTTTCTATAAAAGTGGACTAAACCCAGGGCATGTCCTACTACTACTTTCATTTAACATTGTTCGGGAATAATTGGCCAAAGAACTGAAATAAGTACAAAAAAGCAAAATATATAATATAGGAAAAGTTAATTCAAAATTATCTTTGCTTTTGCATTAATAAGATTGTTAAGTAAAATTTTTGGAAATGGAATACTGCATATATCAAAACTAAGAGTTTTCCCACATGCTAGCAATTCATAATCAGAAACTGTTACCACATAAGGATCCCATTCTGGAAATAAGATTTAATATATACAGTAACAATATGGATTAAATCTTGAAACAATTGAGAGATATACCACATTTCATTGATTATAAATGCACTTTAATATCTCTGAAGTCAAGATCCATCTTATGATTTAACTGGAAATATTTTCTTTATTAGTGTTAAATAAAACAATAGTGTGATGTTTTAAGTTTCACAGAATATGGTCAAAGAAGACTTGAGTCAATTGCCAAACATGCCATGCTCAACTATGAGAAAATTCACTGTTGTAGAAATGACAATTCTTTCCAAATTAATTTATTGATTTCATGTAATTGCCATCAAAATAACCTCAGATTATCTTTTTTCTTTTTGGTAGAACAAAATGATTCTAAGATTCTTTTAGAAGAGAAACACCATAATAATACCATGTTGGTGAAAGTGTATTTGGGTATTATATGTTTCGAATTACAATTTGGCAATGTTCATCAAAATTACCAACAATTGCTACTGCTTGGAATTTATTCCTAAAGAACACCTCAGGTGTTTTGTAGAAAAATGTATCTTGTAGCACTGTTTAAAATAGAAAAAATTAGATGTCATCTAAAAGTCTATCAAAAAAGAGACTGTTAAACAAGTGATGGGAGGGGTGTTTGCAAAGTTCTTTTTTTTTTTTTTTAACCTGGGTGGTGGTTATACAGGCTTCATTGTACAATTATTTATTGAATTATATCTATGCACTTTCTGTATGTGTAATATACTTCACAATAAAAGCAGCTAAATATAAGAACATTTATGTTTAGGAATATTATGAAATATTATATAATCCATAGAAGAATCAGGTAAATCCAGGATAAAGATTGTGACAAGATACACATAGATATTACTCAGATTCAGTCCGGTGCTTGCACATAGCTGTAGTGTGTTCATTTTCACTGCTGAATAATATTCCATTGGGTGACTATACTAAATTTGTTAATATTTATCACTAATGGATTGA